AAATTACTCCATTACACAGATACTTAATTCTTCTCTTTGGAAAGAACGTCTCACTATGCACCCCAGGCTGGCCTAGAACTCTCAATCCTCCTGCCTCAGACTCTCCACACGCTTGGCATCATGTGAAAACAAAACAAAGCAAGTCACTGAAGTTTCCCAAGGATAAGATGCCCACATCCCAGGTGACAGCTGAGAATGAACAAAGGATGCCTATGTAAGCGCCCACACAATAAACTCCTTTCCACATTTCAGTTGGTGGCCCTGCTTTAAAAGTGGCCCTGCAGCAAGTGCCCACAAGCTGTTTAGTGCTTCTTCACAAAGGCAGCTATGGCTACCTTGTGGAGAAAACACAAATGGCTGTGCTGCAACATTCATGTGTCTCTCCACACACACACACTCTCACACACACACAGATATGCACACTCTCACACACCCACACTAAACAAATAGAAACACATAAAACAAGGTTGTGCGCTGGCTGTTGATAAAAGCAGGACCAGAGCTTTCAGGACTGAACCTTGTGGGATTTCCCTCTGGGGCAATGATTCAGTACTCACTAATACCATCACAACTGTTCTTACATGCAACCAAAGAAAAAGCATGAAATAGTGAGCATTTTATCAAATGAGAGAATGTTCCCCAGGTTCAGAAGGGATAGCTGGTTTCCCAAGTAAGGTAACCACAAAAGCTGCTGACTGGGGCTAACTTGTATTCTCAGGCTGAAAACAACGCATTAAAAAAAATGCTCATTACATCCCCACAGACAAAAAAGACCAAGTGGTTGTTCCATAGTATGTGTGCACCCTAACAGTCACAAAAGAGGATAGTAGGATAAAACAAAACAACTCATTAATGAGAACAATTATCAGTTCGTTCAGTTACATTACTCTTTTTAAACTTATTATCACAGAAATAGGAGGGTAGATTTTATTTTGACAATACCAGCAATCTGTCTGCTGTTCCACTCAGCGAGGGTGTTGGGTTCCCAAGGCCTATCTCGGTTCTCCAGTGTCTCTTAAAGTATGAATGGCTCAGTGTGAGGTCAAAATAACCCACTACAGGGCCAGGATCACCCAAACCTCCCGGCGACTTCTCTTCTGGTGTCAAGGAGAAAAGAAGGGGTTTCTTTCAACCTTAAATAACTGGCTACACTTGTCTGACTTAAAAAACAGAAAATGAGGCTGGGTGTAGTTGCTCACACCTTTATCCAAGCACTGGAGAGGTGACAGAGGCAAGCCAGGCTCTGAGCTTGAGGCCAGCCCAGTTTTCATACAGAGTCTAAGGACAGCCAGGAGTACATAGAGACCCTGCCTCAAAACAAAACAAAACTACCAAAAGAAAAAAAAAAAATAGGAAGGAAGGAATGGAGGGAGGGAGGGAAGAAAATAATTCTTTCCAAAGAATACTGACAAACGTCAAGAGCAATTCTGGACAATATTATACTTCCCCAGTACACACTAACCATAGAATCAAATATGCCAATAAAATACACCTCTACTCATTCTGACCCAAGGGTTCCCATCATCAGACAGCAGGATAAGCTGAATATTTTTACCATGTACTTTTATGGTATCTCATAGTGAACAAGGTGTTCTCGTATCAACTGTTTCCACTTAACAAGCAAAAAAGACTGGATGGGGTCAGGAACGCTTGTTGCTCTGGCAGACGGCCCAGCATCCACAACCGCTCGTAACCCAGGTCCAGGTCTCACACCTTCCTGGGGCCTGTGCACATGGTCCACATATATACTCACACACATAAAATTCATAAACTTTTGGAGCTGGGATAAAACACTTTGACAACTGTTAGGCGCAGTAACAGAAATAATAAGAGTGGCTTTTTTTAAAAGAGGGCCTCAGACATGTCTCAGGTTTGCTCTGTAGCCAAGGGTGACCTTGAAATTCTGATTCTCCCACGTCTACCTCCTGGGATCACAGACCTTTGACACCACATCTAGTGTGGTGGTTTGAAAGAAAATGGTCCTGAAGGAATGACAACATTAGGGGGTGTGTACTTCTTGGGGTGGGTGAGATCTTGAATGAAGTACGTCACTGGGGGCAGGCTGAGGTCTCTTTTCTCAAGCTTCCCTCGGTGTGACAGTCAGCCAACTTCCTTTGCGGTAAGATATAGGACTCTTGGCTACCCCAGCACATCTGCCTGCAAGCTGTCACGTTCCAAGCCATGATGACAATGGGCTGAACCTCTGAAACTGTAAGGCAACCCCCTCAATTAAATGTTTCCCTGTATAAGAGTTGCCCTGGTCACGGCGTCTCTCCACAGCAACAGAAGCCCTAAGACACCTGGTGCTATGGTTGGTTTTATGCCGTGCTGGAGGTCTATGCTAGGTAAGCCCCTACCAACTGAGCCACCCCACTCTTGGCTGCAAGAGTAAGAGGTTTTGATCATGACTATTTGGGTCCAAATCTCAGGCATTTAAATCACACACCTTTTGGAGCCTTATTAAATTCAGATAGTGCACACATCTTTGTAATTTTGGAGACGAGTTCAGTATCTCATAAGAACACTCAAAGTCACATGCCTACTTGACCATCAGTGCTTCAGTAGGACACCTTTAAACTCCCATCCATGCTGAAAAGCTGCAGGCGGGTATGACGCGGTCCTTCTCTCCCTTCAGATGCCCTAAACATGTCTTCCTCAGGAGGCGCCGCCCCTCCCAAGGACTCAAACAGCACATGTGCACACAAGCATGCAAAGGCTACACAGGAACGTTCAATGGCTCCGAGGACTCACACCACGCATGCACACGAGTGTGCAGCCGCCCTGAGGAGGCATGACCAAAGGAAGCTAGCTAAATTTGTTCAGACAGCAGCTCTCAAGTGTGTCTGATGGAACGTGTCTGCATAATTACCATAAACACCCACAGAACTCTAGTTCTCCTGAATGTAACTCATTCTTTTAAACATGTGTTTAGAAATAATGACTTTGATAAATTCATGTGTCATAGTAAAACAATAGCAGACCCAAGAAACTATATTTACTTTTTAAACTTTGTTTTTTCATACAATCTCTGTCTTCCTCTCTCCCTCTCTTCTGTCCTCCCTTCCACGCTCTCCGCTCCCCTTCCGGTCTCTCTCAGTAGCTGTCCTGGAACTTGCTATTTAGAACAGGCTGGCCTCAAATCTACAGAGATCCATCTCTGCTTCTGTCATGCCCTAACGCTGAGAATAAAGGTGTGTGTCACCATGCCTGGCCCTTGACTTCTTTTTATTTTGTGTGTACTGTTTTACCTGCGTGGAGTCTGAGCACCGCTTGTGCGCCTGATGGCACCGGAAACCACAACAGGGAATCTGAACCCCTGGAACTTGAGTTAGACAGATGTGAGGCACCACGTGGGTGCTGGGAATGGAGCATGGTCTTCTAGAAAAGTAGACAGTGCTCTTAACGGCTGAGCCATCCCTCCAGGCCCTCTAATTAGCTGGTTTTGAGATGAGGTCACACTGTGTTGCCCTGGCTGACTTCAAACCAGCAATCCTTCTGCCTCACCTCCCAAGCAGCACCACACCTGAGTGATAAAAGTGATCCTTTAGTGGAGATTCCCCAGTCATTATGCGGTAGCCAGCCTTGAATGTGCATATGTACTCTGATCACTTAGGCCACTAGAGCATTCTTATTACAAGGCTTCAGAATAAGTAAGACTGCCCAAGAATTAAGAAGTGGCTCATCTAATGGAAGGCAGGGAGGAAAAATGGGGGAGAAGTTTTAGTCTTTGCTTCTAAACTGACTTGTATGACCTATCTTATTCAACAAATCAACTTCCCAAAAATGGTGCAAATCTATTGCCATATCATGACCTCTGTGGTCATTACCCCTGGTACCCTCCCCAGTGGACAACAGAGAATAGAGCTAGTGAACTATAACCCCCCCCACACACACACACACAAAGCAGTTAGTTATATAACAAGAAAAGGGACACAATCATCAGCATTTAAGAGGTCTTGAAATTTTCCACTGGTCTCTATTGTAATTACAATGTTGGGGAACTGTCCAACTAGTCCTTTTCAGGACCTCTATTTAGTGTCCAAAGTACCATAATTCTTCGGTGGGGCAGGGGAGTAAATAATCACCAGTAAATTTCAGCCCTGGAGACAAGATTGCTGGGAGTCTGAGGCCAACCTGGGTTATATAGTGAGGGAGTGATCCTGTCTTAAGAAAACAAATAAAAACAAAAACAAAGTAGCTATTGTATTTGGAGATCTAAAATTGTGTACAAATATTATGATCTACACCTAGAAAATCGTGTAATTGCATAACGTAAACATTCAAAATATAACTTAAAACAGGCTGCAAAATTCACTGGATGGTGGGTCTTCCAACTTTTTTTCCTATTCTATCTCAACTATTCTACATAAATATCTGCAGTCAATACTGATGATTGAGTACATGGAAGTGCCTGTGAAACAGACACTTTAGCTTCAAGATCTCGTGATTTTCTAAGGAAAATGAATGGAATTTAGATGTGTTCTGGTAGGCAAGTGAAATAAGTACGCATATGGCTCAGCCACTTGCCAGCACCAGTGCGAAAACCAGTTGTGACTGCCCAAGGTACCAGAGCCCCTTCAAAACTCCTTTCACTTCTGCCTTTTGCATTGGGAAGACCTCAAGGCCACCACCTCTCCAGGTCACAGCCCAACACATGGTGGACGCTCATGCTCCAGGACACAGGGTACACACCTACCCGCCAGGCCGTGGGGGCTCCTGTCACCTCACCTCCTCCCAGCTGACCTGCCCTCCCCACCCGGGCCTTTGCTGAGACCATCTCCACGTCTCCATCCTTCTCTACCTAACCAAACGCAAGGACAGGGGAGGGAGAAGATGGTGGCGGGAGGAAAAGCACCCCGCCGCCTCGCTCTTCCCCATTCCAGAGACGCTAAACCACACCACCACTCCTCGAGCCCGCAGGCAAAATCCGCAACACTTAATATTTCTTTTTCAGACGCTTTTAGGCACAAATAACTTCCCCTCTCCCTTCCGCCCCTCACCTTCACGAAAGCAATCGGGGTTGTGGTACCTTCGATATCTAACAGGATAACTGTGACTTCGGCGGGCACCGAAACCACGACCATTTCCCTGCCGGATGCTACCACGGGCTCGGCCACGCTGGTAAAGAGGACAACACAGCCTGCGCCCCCAGGACGCCTCGGGCTGCCAAAGCCCAACAACAATCTGAGAGCAGGCAGCAGCGAGCGACCAGAGGGGCGGACACAGGCCGGCCCCGGGGACCCTCGACTGCAGAGGAAGCCGCCCAAGATGCTGCACCCAAAGAGCAGGCGAGCGGCGCAGGCCCAGACCACGTGGGCAGCCAGAGGGGGCGGTGCTCCGGGTTCCGGGGAGGGCGGGGAAAGCGGGGCGCGCGCTCCTATTGGCCACCGGCGAGCCGCGAACGCGATCCGTCAAAATGGGCCTCGCGTGGGCGGGAACAAAGAAGCGAACACCCGAGCCCGGAGCTCGGAGCGCGGGCGCCAGCCCTCCGCAGCCTGGAGGAGGGAGCCAGCGCCGGCGGCCCGGGGCTCGTGCAGACGGGAGCCCCTTGAGTGGTGCGCCGGGGACGTGAGTGCCCCTTGCCTTCTCCGGCACCCGACCCCTTCCCCGCCCACCTCGTGCGCTTTGGCTCGGCTTCAGTCCTCCGAGCAGGCCCCGCCCTCCGCCGCGGCCTCAGCCCGCCTGGGAGGCCGGCCGCACGGACCCAGGTGCGGCCATCCTGCAGCCGGGGTCCCCGAACCGACACCGGCCCGAGGCGACGGCGGGAAAAGCCCCCGTCCCCGCCAGAATAGAGAGGGTCATCGCGCGTCCGCATTCGGGTTCGGCTGGCTTCAGCCCGCGCAAGGACAGAACACGCGTGCGCCCCGCGAGCTTGCGGGCGCGCTGCAACTTCAGCAAGCAGCCCCGGGTGCACGCCGCCGCCTTCTTCCCGGTGCTGCCAGGCGGTCATAGCCGCCGGAGCTCCGCACTGGGGGACTGAGGGCGCAGGGAGTGGGCCGGACTGGACGCGGCGACACAAAAGGCTCCCCAGGCAGGAGGGACCGTGGCCCTGCGACGGCGCCGCCGCCCGGGATTGCCTGCGCTTCGGCCCTGCGCGTCTGACTTCTCCTGCTCTCTCAGGCCGACCCCCAGCGCGACCTCGCTCCTCGCCCGGAGCACCGCGATGGAGGTCCCGCCCCGGCTTTCCCATGTGCAGCCGCAGCCGCCGCCATTGTTCCCCTCCGCTCCCGCTACTCTAGCCTCCCGCAGCCTCTCCCATTGGCGGCCGCGGGCTCCCCGGCAGCTCGCCCCGCTCCTCCCATCGCTTGCTTCCAGCGCCTCCCGGCAGGGGGCGCGCCGGACCCCGCGCCACGTCACCGCCCAGCAGCCCTCCCGATTGGCGGGCGGGGCGGCTATAAAGGGAGGGCGCAGGCGGCGGCCGGATCTCTTCCGCCGCCATTTTAAATCCGGCTCCATACAACGCTCCGCCGCCGCCGGGACCCGCACTGCGCGCCAGCACCCCCTCGCCGACGGCTCCGCCAGCATGGAGGACGTGAACGAGTACAGCAACATAGAGGAGTTCGCAGAGGGATCCAAGATCAACGCGAGCAAGAACCAGCAGGATGACGGGTACCGCACGCTCCGCTCCTCCCCTCCCCCAGAGCCCCGCGCCCGCCCCGCGCCCCCTCCGGAGCTGCGCGCGCTGCCCCCACTCTTTCCCCGAGTCGATTCTCCGCGTGCCCGCTGGACCCCAGTAGCTTCCCCACTAGTGGAAAGTAAGATGGGGGGGTGGCTCGAGAGGCCCGACGCGGGTGGGGGAAGGGAGGAAGGGTTGGGGAGAGGAGGGCGGCGCCGTCGGTGTCCCGAGTGCGCAGGCGCTGCGGGGGGGGAGGGGCCGGGCACGGGGCGCCGCAGGCAGCTGCCGCCGCCTCCTCATTGTGTGTGGGTGCGTGTTGGCGGTGGTGGTGTTGGCTGGGGCGACTTTTCCGGGGGAAGTTTGGGAAACTTGGTTTGGGCACCAGTAGCCGACTGGTACCAAGAGTTCTGTAGGTAGCTACGAGTTGACTTGACAGCTGTGGGTGAAAGTTCACCTAAGTTGAGGGGGAGGAGGGATTCGGTGTACAAGTTGTGCTTTTTTTGCAAACCAAAATGATCGGAGCATAACCTCTACTGGACTTCGTTGGCCTTTTATAAAGTTTTGTGTTTGCACAGTAGACGGCAACCTGTCTGCTGCTTTGTTTGAGCCAGTGATCTTGAGGTTTCTGTGGTCCGTTAGTGTTTGTAATCAGAACGGATTGCGTGCACTTAGTGGATGAGTTGGCCTGCACTTACTGTATTGTTTAATTACAGGGTTGAAGTAATCACTAAGTTACTGTTAAAAGTCTTATTTTTTCTTTAAATAACTTTATTTCTAGTAAAATGTTTATTGGAGGCTTGTCCTGGGATACAAGCAAGAAAGATCTGACTGAGTATTTGTCTCGATTTGGGGAAGTTGTAGACTGCACAATTAAAACAGATCCAGTCACTGGAAGATCAAGAGGATTTGGATTTGTGCTTTTCAAAGATGCTGCTAGTGTGGATAAGGTAGGGCTGTGTTTTGCACTGTGCCTTTTGTGTTGCTTGTAAATTGCTCTAGGCTTCTAAGCTCCTGTCAAACTAACTTGTCTTCTAGGTTTTGGAACTGAAGGAACACAAACTGGATGGCAAATTGATAGACCCCAAAAGAGCCAAAGCTTTAAAGGGGAAAGAACCTCCTAAAAAGGTTTTTGTGGGTGGATTAAGTCCAGACACTTCAGAAGAGCAAATTAAGGAATACTTTGGAGCCTTTGGAGAGGTGGGCTGTGTTTGTACGCGTGTGTTCTTGAAATGCTCGTTTGGTCAAGTTTGCTGAGGGTTCATTAGTACTTAATTGGTGCTTTCTGTGCCTTGGTGGGAAATCTAGCTAAAGCTCAAAGGCTTAAAGTGGTGTGAGTTTTACCAGCTGGTGGTCTCTCTGGGGTAGAGAGTGCTGTCAGAGAATATAGCTGACTTTTTCGACAGTAGTGGTCTGTAGAGAGAGTGTGTCTGTACACTGCACTAATGGGTGGTTTTGTTTGTTTTGAATGCACCTGGTTGCAGATAGAGAATATTGAGCTCCCCATGGATACAAAAACAAATGAAAGAAGAGGATTCTGTTTTATCACATACACAGATGAAGAGCCAGTAAAGAAATTGTTAGAAAGCAGATACCATCAAATAGGCTCTGGGAAGGTAAATAGATTGAATTCCATTAAGACGAGTGTGTATGTGAAAACCTGCTTGAAAAGAAAGCCGCTTTTGTGTTCAGAGCTTAGAGCGTGCAAAACTTGTGTTTTTTTAGTGTGAAATCAAAGTTGCACAACCCAAAGAGGTATACAGGCAGCAGCAGCAGCAACAAAAGGGTGGACGAGGCGGAGCGGCTGGTGGACGCAGCGGAGCTAGGGGGCGTGGAAGAGGTGAGGCTTCGTGGGGGACACCGGCTTTTAAACTGAAGCAGTGAGCTGCTAGGTAAAATGGCCATAGGAAACACAGCTAGGTGGAAACTTAATGACCCCACATGGTAAAGGCTGGTTTGTGGGGAGGTTTTGTTTTTTAGTGAGTGCAGTGTAGGGGACGAGAATGCATCATTTTGTGTTAGGATTGGGAGGGTCCAAAGTGGTTTCCTAACAATCATTGTGCATTGTTTCAGGTCAGGGCCAAAACTGGAACCAAGGATTTAATAACTATTATGATCAAGGATATGGAAATTATAATAGTGCCTATGGTGGTGATCAAAACTATAGTGGCTATGGCGGATATGATTATACTGGGTATAACTATGGGAACTATGGATATGGACAGGGATATGCAGACTACAGCGGTAAGAATACTTAACTTAATTTTATAAACCAGTGGTATTAAATTCAGTTTTGAAGTACTTTCCCATTCTGAAGTTGTATGTGTGTATGACTTTCCTATTGAGATGTTTGGAGTTGAGTAGTTACTGTATAGTCATAGGAAAGTAACAGACAGTGATTGTTATTTTAAAGTACAATTTACAACTCTTGGCTGTTAAGATGGCTTGATGTTTTAATGTTCAGCATGCATAGTTTTACACACAGGTTTTTTTATGTTTAAGAAGGCTTTTTTTTTTAAAACAGGAAACTTTCTTAGTAACACTTGTATCCTTTCAAACTAGGTCAGCAGAGCACTTATGGCAAGGCATCCCGAGGGGGTGGCAATCACCAGAACAATTACCAGCCCTACTAAGGAGGCCATGGGAGAAAGCAGGTGTGTGAGCTCACGAGAAAACATTGGCAATGTCTGATTTCATTTAAAGATCAATAGACAAATGGAAAATACAATGAGCAAAATACTGTGTAGTCTTTACTAAATTGTTAATTTCTAATTGCTTTATGAGCTATTTTGCCTAAAGTGTCTATAGATCTTTAACTTTAAAGTCTTACCTCACCTTTTTTAGAATTACAGAAAAACTTAAGAGTTTTTCTGTTTGCTTTGTGTACCAGGAGGTTTAAACTTTTTTAGAACTATACCAGGTAAAGTACTGAAATGGGTACAACTTAAGGAAAACAAGAATGTTGTCTTCTAACTCTGACATTATACCTTGTTTGTACCCGCCAGCGGGAACTTCATTGCAGGCCGTGTGTCACCCTGACCACGTCTATCTCTGGGGGTCGCACGTTGCGGGCAGAGCGCAAGGCATACACCAGAAAACGCTGTCCTGTGGTATGGTCTCTTCCAACTTCATGTACCAGCGTAAAGATTAAAGTGGAAAACTTCAGACTTTGGCTTCTTTTTAATCTTTTTGGAGATTAAGTGTCTAAACTTAACTTAAATGGTTTTTTGCAGGAGTTAAAGTACATAAATGCCTTTTTACAGCTTAATCATTTTGGTCTTCTGTTTAGTGTTGTATTTCAATTGTGGAGCCTCATTTTAAGTGTCCATTCTTTAAGATTTAATGCTTGCTTTTTCTTTTTATAGCTAATAGTGAAATCTACAAACCAAAACAAGAACTTTTAAATCTGGGATATAAGTTAAAGATCATATGCACAAAGCAATTCGTTGTCATTTTGATAATAATAGACCTGCCTGAAATTTGTGTTGCTGATAACATTCTATTTGGCTTACTAGATATGCTTCTAGTTGGCCTTCATCTGCTAGGCTTGTAACTGTGGGAAGATTGCATTCCTATGTTCTAAAGTAAATCCACTTAATATCATTTGGGAACTCCACAGTGAGTTTTTCAAATACTCAAACTATACTTTGTCACTGAATATGCATGTGATCTTTAATTATTGAAGAAAAGAATAAAGTGAGGACTTAAAACAATTCATGAAAATGGACCTTTGCAAGCTTGTGAGGATTGCACACATCTAACAGTTGTTTTGTTTTTGTTTTAGGGGGTGTAAAGAAAACCATCTTACAGGACAGACATTGAAGATTGCTTGATCTTCTGTTGACCTAAGATGATTATTTTGTAAAAGACTTTCTAGTGTACATGACACAACTGTGTCCAACTGTATATAGCTGCCAATTAGTTTCTTTGTTTTTACTTTGTCCTTTGCTATCTGTGTATTGACTCAATGTGGATTTGTGTTTATACAAATTTTTATTTGTATGATTCATGTTAAACCTCAAATAAATGCTTCCTTATGTGATTGTTTTTCTGCGTCAGGTACTACATAGTTCTGTGGAAATGTAATTTATAAAGGAGCAATAATTAAGGCACAGCTTGCTTTGTAGGGGGTATTGGTCCACAGGAAGAAGCTAAACTGGTCCTGGTGTCTGTCCCCTTGTTCCTGGTCTCTTTGCTACATGATGTTCATTCCACAACTTTTGAATGTTTCCCCGTGGTATCTGGAGACTGACACTACAGTCTGTTGTGATTGGTGAAGCTTTCTAGTGTGAGCTGTACTTTCAGACTTCCTAAGGAAAGCATCTTGCTGGAGTAGGACTGCCTCGCTGACATTTTGCTAGTTGCGCATAAATGAAGCCCTAGTTTCTATTCCCATCACCACAGAAAATGGAAAGCCTATTGGGAGCACGAAGTTGTTAAATAACTTTGCTTTGTACCTCTCTGACAAACCATGTGTAATTTACAGATGGCTTTGACTTTAAGAGTTGATGACTTGTCTGCTAGAAAAAGCTTTAGCTGATCACCATGCTGTTGAGTTTTTAGTACTATAGATAAATGCAAGGGAAGAATGCTATCAAACTCAGTAACATGGGATTATCCTGAAGTTTGGATGCAGTGGGGTGAGATTTAGGGAAGTTAGCTCTGGTGCGTCCATCCCACCATAGTGCGTGAGCTGAGTAGCTATAAGCAGTTCTCTATTGAGGCAGAGGAAGTGGGAAGTGGGAAAATAAATGGTCTATCTTTTGGGGCATTAAAAGCTTTTCTAGGATTGTAAAGTAGTACAACCTTTGAGTTTTCCATCAAATGCTTAGACTTAGAAAAGGGGTTTCTGTGGTTCCACAGATGCTTCTAGGTTTGGGATACCTTCAAGTTTAGAGTGCTTGGTCTTAGAAGACCAATGTGAGTTTTTTATACTGATTCGATAATATTTGTACTTGCTAGGCTATTAAGTTGCAATGCATTGGCCTCATTTTACTATGGCCAAGTGCCAGTGTTGACTATTAAAAAGAATTGTTTGTTTCAACTTACAGCCAAGACAATACAAGGGAGAACATTTCACATTATGTTAGTAGGTACATAAGAAATACCTGTGAGTTCAAGCTTACAATTAGGTGACAAGTTGACATTGTCATTTTTCCCTGATCAAAATGAATAAAGTCTTTTTAAAATAAAATTTCAGCTAAGTCTTTATGTATGACTTTAAGAAAATACAAAGATCACTAAGATGGTTTACTGAAACTCAGGGTAAGAATGTACTTGGTCATTGAGGCGCTCCCCTACAGCCTGAGTCGATAGATCTCAAAAGAAAGGTGGACAGCAGCTAGGATGGCTCTGCCCCTTAGGGCCAGTTCCCTGGAGCACGTGCAAAGAGCTGACAATACCCCTCTACACACCTGTCATGGCACATGCTACTTCTTAAGGGGCAAACAGTCAAGGAAAGACATGCCAGCCTCAGTCCTCCCAACACGAGAGCACACTCACCACATAGTCACAAGATGTGTATGTATACATGGCATGGATTTGTTACAGTGTTGAGCAATATTAGAAAACTAATGAAAAACATTCCTCAAACGACCTAATGTCACCTATGGTCTCAAACCTTTCTACCCCCGCCCCTATGTTTGAGATAGGGTTTCTCTGTAACAGCTGTGGCTGTCCTGTAACTTGCTCTGTAGACCAGGCTGGCCTTGAACTAACTCGAGATCTGCATCCTGAGTGCTGGGGCCATCTCTGCATGGCTTCTCAACTTTTGGTCTTTTGTTATTTATATATGAGTGTTCTGTCTGCATGTATTCCTCCACAACCAAAGAGGGCACCAGATCCCATTATCGATGGTAGTAAGCTACCATGTGTTGGCTGGGACTTGAATGCAAGAACTCTAGAAGCAGCAGTACTCCCAACCACTGAGCCATCTCTCCAGTCCTGGTGTCAAGTTTTTTAACATGCAACCTCTATGTGGCCTCTTTTGCAAGCATTTGAAAATGGATTCCATATATATATATTTTTTTGTTGTTGTTGTTGTTGGGGTTTTACATTATTCTTAAAATGGCCAAATTAGAAACTTGATTTTTAGCATGACTTGGTTTCAGGAAAAGTAAGGATGTAGCATGACTTCTTTTTTCCTTTTTTTTTTTTTTTTTTTTTTTGATTTTTTGATTTTTCGAGACAGGGTTTCTCTGTGGCTTTGGAGGCTGTCCTGGAACTCGCTCTGTAGACCAGGCTGGCCTCGAACTCACAGAGATCTGCCTGCCTCTGCCTCCCGAGTGCTGAGATGTAGCATGACTTCTTGATCACTGAAAACTACAAGACGTGATTGTTGGTCTACAAGAGCTAGTTCCAGGACAGCCTCCAAAACAATACAGAGAAACCCTGTCTCAAAAAAACAAAAAAAAAGAAAAAGAAAAAAAAGCCTCACTTTGTAGATCAGGTTGACCTTAAATTCACAAAGATCCATCTGCCTCTTGGGATCCTTTAGTCCCAAGTGCTGGGGTTAAAGGAGTGCACCACTCCTGGCTCTCTACAGAGATGCTTCTATTGATCATTTTGCCACACATACTAAAATACTGAAAATTAGCCCAAGAAATTTCCTTCTTACTGAGACCTTTGACCCATACTGAGCACATTGGGATAAGGACAGATGGGTACTTAGAAAAGCATACTGCTGTGATCTGGGAAAGGAATAATTTTAAAGCACTAGCCGGTGTGCATGCTTATGAGGTTTTAAGTTAGCATTTAAATAGCTTTGGAAATAAAGCCCCCCCCCCATTTTCTCTGATACACATTGCTTTTTTCAAGAATTTATGTACAAAAAACCCTTACAGTCTATCAGAACTAGTCACTCCACACTGATGTAGTTCTTCCCTTGTTTAATTTTTTAAATTTTGTTAATTAAACTTATTTAATTGCTACTGGCCTGGCATGTTTTTGTTTTTTGTTTTGTTTTGCCTTCTTATTCAGTACTGACAAGGTCAAATGCTTTGGAGGTGGAGAGATGGCTCAGTGGTTGAGAGCACTGCTGCTCTTCCAGATGACCTGGGTTCAACTCCCAGTACCCATGTGATAACTCACAACCACCTGTGCCTCTGCAGACACTACATGCGTGTGTTGCACAGACATACATGCAAGCAAATCACCCTTACACACAGTATAAATAAATAAATCTCCAAAAACATTTGTTTAAAGAACACAGACTGTATGTGAGTCCCAGAATCCACATCAGACAGCTCATAGCTGCCTGTGCCTCCAGCTCCAGGGGACCTGATACCCTATTGTATGCTTTCCCAGCCCCAGCAATCACGTTCACAAACCTGCCACTCACACACATGCATACTGCTTCAAAATTAAAATTAACTCACCATGGTTGCACACATCTTTAATCCCAGAACTCAGGGAGCAGAGGCAGGTGGATCTCTTGAGTTCGAGGCCAGCCTGGTCTGCAGAGCTAGTTCCAGGACAGCCAGGAATACACAGTGAGACCCTGTCTCAAAACAAAGGCTTTCCTAGAACCCTCTGGCCTTGAACTCACGTAACTTTTTTTTTTTTTTTTTTTTTTGGTTTTTCGAGACGGTTTCTCTGTGGCTTTGGAGGCTGTCCTGGAACTCGCTTGGTAGTCCAGGCTGGTCTCGAACTCACAGAGATCCGCCTGCCTCTGCCTCCCGAGTGCTGGGATTAAAGGCGTGCGACATCAACGCCCGGCCTGACATAACTTTTTTATGTTTAGAACTACACTCACATTCACATACATTAGTGACCAATATATACTTAAAAAAAAAAAGATTTTATTATGCCTACAGTGTTCTGTCTGCATGTGTCCCTGCACACCAGAAGAGAGCACCAGATCTCATTACAGGTGGCTGTGAGCCGCCATGTGGATGCTGGGAATTGAACTCAGGACCTCTGGGAGAGCAGCCAGTGCTCTTAACCTTTGAGCCATCTCTCCAGCCCCAATATACTGACTTCAATTCCCAGCAACCACATGGTGGCTCACAACTATTGGTAATGAGATCTGATCTGGTGCCCTCTTCCGGCCTGCAGAGACACATGCAGACAGAACACTGTATACTAAATAAATAAATCTTTTTTAAAAAAGCATATATGTAAGTGTACGCACATACATATGTCTTCATATTTATTTTTCAAGAAAATATACGTGGTTCTGCTTTTAGCAGCTGTGGTCTAGGTCGTTGTGACTCTTTTTACAAACACAATGAGATATTAAAAACAAACAACAAAAACCCTGAAAGCACTGAAGAACTAACCAGATTCTGGGACTCACGGAAGCCTTGAGGGCAGGGGCAGGCACAGGGGACAGGCACAGGCACACACTGTTACCCCAGCTGTGCAGGAAGCTGACACATGCCTCATGTTCAGGGCAACATGGGAAACTTCTGAAGACTGTCTCACAAGTAAAAACAAACTAGTGATTCCTTGCCATTTCCTGTGCCCAAGAAGTTAGTTTATTACTTTTGAATCCAGCCTCACTCAGACTCCCAGGACATGCACAGAAGGCAGCCAGACTTTGTCATAGCTTAACATGACTGACCTCTAGCTTGGTACACAAGCAAGTCCTTGTTCCTCTCCGAACTGCATTGCTCTTGGCATTCTGGTCTCCCAAACTCCAGCGGAATAACCCGTTAAGCTCTTCTGACGTTCTCTAGCTTCTCTGGCCTGAAGTTCTAAACGCTCTGACATTCCTTCTATGGACCAGTTCCAAAGGCCCACAGCCCACATGGTCAGTTTTGTCACGGGTTTAGCCCATCCTTGATAGCAGTTTTCTGTGGGAACACCAGACATTGAGCAGAGACCCACTTCCCCTTCTGCCTGGGAGTAGGCAGCTGTAAGACAATGTTTACTAAAAACATGTTTACTAAAAACAATACAATGCCCGGGGGCAATAAGTTCCTGGAAAAGGCCTGCCCACAGAAACCACCCTGACCTTGACCTTGTCCAAAGACTAACCACCTCTTCTGCCACGCCCAGATCAGTTTTTGGTGAGAGCAGAACCAGCCAGGGGAGAGGAGAGAGCA